ATGTAGCCACATGTAAATTTTCTCTAAACGTTAAAGTGCCTTGCATGTCCTAGCTCTGGTTTATCTCCAGGAGGACACTTGAGGAATCTTGACTTCTGTGTCATATCAGATATGCCTCCTGTGGATTTAAAACATTTAGATATGACTGACATTATTGAGATATGTATTTGGAGCCTAGAAACCTTGCAACTATAGCAACTAGTTTATTATAATACTATTATAGAAGTTGCTTCCCCGCCCCCCCAAGATGTAGTTACAAAAGGACAATGGCTTGAATTAATCATTTTCACACCTTTTCATAATCGTGAGTGACATTTACTGAGCAATTTTGATGTGCTCTGGGAGGTTCTGTCCTAAGTGTCCTCATTTTTAATTATTAGAATTAGAAATGGAAAATAGTTGAATGCTTGTTAAGACAGTTTCCCTAACATATTTCATCCAGAAATGTCGAGTCTCCAACTAAAAAACATCTCTGGCCTAGCTGGTGGATCATTATAGGAGATGCAGGTCATATGGGAGGTGCTGTGTTCAAGCTAACATGTAATGAATCCTTCATGCTATGCTTCTAAACATGAATCATTAAGCTGACCCCAAACTTATTTAGAGAAAACATTTTTTTAATTATAAAATTTCTTTTCCATCAGTTTTGAGACTCGTTTAAATTAGTGCTGCATCATTGACCTAATAGGGGAGTATCGTTTTGCTAGTCTATTACCAAAGAAGCCATGCTGGAGTATACCACTTACCAATATTCATTTATTTATTTATTATCTAGTAAATACATATTTAATCCCTGCTATGTGCCAAATACTGAGGATACCAACTACAACAACAAAAAATTAATAAAGCGTGGTATGTGCCTTAAGAAGCGCATAGTCTCTGGTTATCTTTGTAAGCAGCACAGAATAGACATTTAAGGTTATCATTGAAGATGCCTATCAATCCCTTGCATAATTACCCAGTAGTGCCTACTGCTGGCACTCTTGACCTTAACATCTGTAGCCCTTGCATCTGAGAATTCTCAGAATAGTGTGCTGAAGTATATGTATTTAACTACTAAAGTAAGACTTGAAGTTGCTGAGTCCAGTTAGAAGCCCTGAGTTCTTTGAGTCTAGGAATGGATCCACATTTTTAAGCTTTAGTAACCAACCTTTCGAAAAGTTGCAAGGATGGAGTACTAAAGCTCTACGAATTTGTGACTGCAGAGAGTTTCCAGAGGTCCCTGCAGTAGTGGGGGAATTCCTTTTGCCCTCTGAGTCTTGTGGGCGGCTGAAGCTATGTAATGAATGGGCTGGTGGGCAACTTCCCCAGAGGTCTTTTTTTGATACAGGGCAATACCTCGTCTTTCATCTTCGAAGCCGGAAACCTGAACTCATCTTAAGTTTCTCTATCTCCTTCAAAACTCTTTCAATCATTTCCAGTTTTTTTTCCTATATCCTAATTTTAAACCCTTATAATTTATCACTTGGGCTGTTAGCAATGGTGTACTACCTGGGTGTTATATGCTTAACAGTCTCATCCCCTACTGTTACATTCCTCACTGATCCCACCAGAGTGACATTCTAAAATACACATTGGGTCTTACAATTCCTCTGCTTAAAATTCATCAGTGTCTCCCATCATCTACTGTACAGAGTCAGAACTATTTGGCCTGGTGCGAGTTCCTTTATGAGTTGGCCCTTGCCTACACTTTCCTACCAACATTGTGCTTGCCAATTCAGTCTAACAATTTGAAGTTACTAGAACATAATTATGTTCTTTTTCTTTTTGGCCTTTGTGTTTTGCATGTACTGGCCCTTTACCCTGTATGTTCTTCCCTTCTTGTCTTCTTGGCAAACTCCTACTCATCTTAAAACTCAGTTCAGATGTTTGCAATTCTTGGATGCCTTCTGTGACCTCTCTAATCAGGCATATATTTTCTTCTTGCTTCTACATTTTGTTATGCTTGAGACATGGTCTCATCATTTGTCTACCTGACTCTTTCTTATGAGGCCTCTCAACCACAGGAACAGCATTGTGTTCAGGTTCATATTTTCCTGCACCTACTACAGTGCATGATATATCAGACATTTTTTAAATGAATGAATGGTTTTGATATTCCTTCCTATTGATCTTATTATCCCTGATTACATGGGATGTTTCTTTTTATATTTAAAATTCATTCTGAAAACACCTGTGGTAATGCAGTAGTAAACGTGGGCAAGATGAATTGTTAATATACAGCTGAGTGTTTAGAATTTGGGGAATTGTACTGCAAGCAGCAAGCTGTCCGAACACATCTTTGCTTTTGCTTGCTAGATGTTAAGAGGCAACTTGTTGTTCTACTTGTCAACAGGTAATTAATGACAACCCAGTCTTTAGTGGGTAACCAGTTTTACACAGTCTTCCACAAATCAGGAGTAAGCCTTTCCTTGGTCCTCACTATAGTCATTTCTTGATCTTCTTCTAGAGACAGAAGATCAAGTAGCAGAATTGGTTTACAAACTAGTTTTCAAATAAATAGTAAAACAAGACATTTATTTTGGGATAGGGAAATTAAATTTTTATTTAAAATAAACTTTTAATAAAAATATAAAATCTATATTATTCTGCATTTAGAAACCACTGATTAATGTAATTAAATGATAGTATGGACACTTTTTGTATAATTGGTCAGTCTAACTCCTCTCAGTTAAAAGACTCAAAATTTTATTATTTTTTAAAAACCTGATTATTTTCTAGTTCTTTAATATTTGTTATTGAGCTTTATTGCCTTTAATGCAAGCAGAACATCTTTCTGACATGACACTCTGCTGTATTTCCATTTAGTTCTCTGGTAAGCAGTGGTCATTTGGGTAATATAAGTAATCAGAACAATGCACATGGATAATTTATCTACAGTTCATAGTGCCCCTTTTCTGGGGGCTTGATTATCTTAATAATCAGTTTAATCTTACTTAGAAAATTATACCTGTATGCTTTGAGCTGGTAGTGCATATTTATACCGTTTTTTTCCTTATGGGCAATAGACATATTACAATAAAATCATTTTCTTTTAGATTGTCACTGATATTTTCAAAGGTCTTAAATTGTTTTAAGATTTTTAACTCGAGACTAGACTATCTTATTGTTTTTAAAGGTGAAAAGAGGTAAAAAAGGGAAAACAGATCCCCATTCAATTAACAGTTTAATGTTGCACTTTTCTCCTCCTTGGTTGCTTTTTTTTTTTTTCCCTTAGGTAGATTTTGGTTTGCTTAATAGGGCCCTGCTTTATATTTTTACTGATCTTTCCAAAGAATATATCACTTTGGCATGGCCAGTTTTTTCTAGGGAATCCCAAGGAGAGTCTTGAATAAATTCCTTGATGATTTTAGTACCTCTAAATCATCTCTATGGTGATATATTGTGAAAATGCCCAGTGACTTTAACTAGGACATTTATCTTGAAGCAAAAACTGAGATGACTTATTTATTTTAAATATTTTAAGATAAAAGTTTAATGTAACATATTCTGCATGGATTAATTTTGAGTAGTCATTTTCTTGATGTTTATTATTATTATAAATAGCAAGTCAACCCCATGCCATCACGACCAACCATCCCTCCATGAGTTGGTGACCTTTGTTCTCAGTCACTTGTAACCCCTCCATAATCTAATCCCTGATTTCTAACTCTGGTAGCCATCGTCCAGTGCTGGTCAAGGAGGTGAAAAAAGGAGCAAAATACAAATGATGCAACATAAATAGATTCACCCTTTCTTTTGGGGAAATTAGAGATACTGTGTAGATTTGTTTGTGGATTAGCATAGTAAAAAAATTATTAGTAAAATATGATCTTTTTAAAGCATTCATGTTTCAAAGCCCTTTGCCAAATTTTTTGACATTTTCAGCCCACATTATTTAATAGGACGTATATATGAGTGTGTGTGTGTGTGTGTGTGTGTGTGTGTGTGTTTAAACATTTAGAGCAACTATTCCTGTATCATGATATGACCAATAGGCTCTGCCCCATAAACTCTTAACTGTTTGGGCCATTGAAAGATAACTTTTAAGATTCATATTTCTTTACTGAATGCCCCAAAGTAATGGAAGTTGTATGTTTCCTCTGATTTGTATAGAATATAATCACACAGTAAGCTCCAGAGAAGTGTGTGCAAGGCATGTGAGCCTTAAGAACTTTACTTTTGTAGGCTTCTGAGCTTTAGCTCAAGTTACAGGCAACTTGAAATCTGTTTTAATCTCAGACATCATTCAAAAGGCTGGTTAGTTTTAGTTTTATTAATGGACATTTGCTCTTGGTGAAGGTAAATCTGCTTTTCACATATCAGCCATAAGAGAACCTTGGTTGATCCCTCAAATGGCAGTGAGACAGAACAAATAAGCTGTGAAAACATTTTATCCTGAAACTTTTCAGTAAGGATATTAAAGGTAGGTTAACATTAGCTAAACATGTTGACCTATTTTTTTTAAGTAATTAGAATTTCACATCAACTGAGAATATAATCTTCATTCTAAATGGTTTATCTGCTGGTAATTTTAATTCTCTATAGAGATACAGCACCTGACACTTTGAAGTTAATGCTTCCTCTGATGAAGTGTATTGAAGTGGTATAGAGCTTTCCTTAAAAAATAAGCCTTTAAAATGGGTAATATTCTGAAGGTCATAGTTGCTATCATTCTGTCAAGCTGTCTTATATATAAAGTTTTAAATAATTAATGAATCAATTAAGGTAGGAATCATTTTTTACAGTAAATCAGTACTTTAATATTTTTCTTTTCTCCTGTTTGATTTTGGATCTTGTTTAGTGTTTACTGCCTGTACCATTTTTTGTTTGCATCATCACTCTTGTATGTATCTCATGAATTACTTGAATATTACAATTTATTTTTTAATTAAAAATCCCCCACATGCTTCTCATATTAAAACATAATAAGTACCAACACAGCCTAATTGGAACTTATATTTATTCTGGGTGTTATTTCTAAAATGAATTGTTGCTAATATTGTTTTTAATTCTAATAGCCTCAAGTACTACAGCCTTCCAGCAGCCTTCCCAGACCCACAGACCACGCCCAGGGAAAACTAGCAAAGCCACAACATACCGAGGCCCACAGTGAGTGCATAATCCAGGGCATACATCAGGCTGTTGCACCTCTGGATGAAAGCTTTACACACGGCTTGCAACAAGAAAGCAGCAGTGGTCTGGAAGACCGGCCTTTTTCATCAAGCCCACAATTCACTAAGGATGTGGTGAAGAGTACACCTTCTGAAGCAGACTTGAACATGACCATGAATGCTCAAGAGCCTTATCATTTGGCAAATAATCAAATTAGTGACATGCAATTTGTAACCACTTCTCTTCAGACACTTCCCCAGTCAAGTATAGTAGACCAGGCTAAGAGAGTTGGAAGAAATCAGTCTTCACCAGAGGGCTACACATCTCAGCCCAAGTCCTTGAAGCTTTTTAAGCCATCCATCTTGAATTCTGTGGTACCTCCTCCAGTTCCTGAAACATGTCCAAGTGGGAATCCCACTTGTAAGAAGTCACCAATAATCACACCATGTAATTCTGCAAAACTCCAGCCAACATCTAGTCAAACACATCTTGCAAATAATCCAAATCCAAAAGCATCTAAGCTCCGCCCCCCTGCTGGCTCTTTCAAACAAAAACAAATAAGCAGCCCCCGACTAGAGCCTCAAAACTTCCAGGCCAAGACAAGCATTCCAAGGCCACTAACAAGAAGAAAAGAAATCATGCAGAATCCTAATGACAATTTGAATTCTGGGGATTGTTTGGCCTCTAATCAATATTCTCGTCTTCCTAAACCAAAGATACATTAAGCATAGCCACCGCCTGCCAATTTGTTTTTTTAAAAAACAGTCTGTAATAGCTTTATGTGCAGTTTGCTACTGTGATGGAGGTTCCATTGAAAGCTTGCAAATCTAAAAATTAAAATGTGGAAGCTTCTACTAGTTTGGCTCTTCCATTTTATATCCTGGTTGAAGTACATAGTATTTGAGCATATTTGTCTCAGGTAAACACAAAAGTTTGCTTACCCATTCAGAGGTCTACAGAAGGCTCTAATCATGTTATCCATCCCTCTGCACATTAGAAACTTCATAATATTCCACTTAGCAAGCAACAAATGTGCTTTGCTGATTGAGTCCTTTTAAGGTCTGTATTAATTGTGGTTGTCACAGCCTCACCCTTTTTCACTCATCCCTCCTGTGAATATGGTTACTATTTTAACTAAAGATTTGATGATAATGGAAGATGGTAGTCTGTACGTAGAGTTCTGGCCAGTGATTTGTATATTTAAAAGGTCTATGCAAAAGCTCTGTGATGAATACAGGAGATCAGGCTTTTATTGGGAAGTTTATGTAAGTTTTATTTTTCTTTACTATAGTCTCAATATTTATTTACCAGACAAATTCCCCTGGCTAAAAATGTTTCATATTATATATATAAACCAATTATATGTTACTTTAACATCTTGTTTTACACACACACACACACACACACACACACACACACACACACACACCCCATTTGTATTTGTTTTTGTTACTGAATAAATTTTGGAAAGCTCGAGTGAGGATACATCTTGAAACCTGACGTAAAGATGTATTCATTTGTAACATATGTTGGTGCTAGAGTTTTGCTGGTAATTCCATTTTGAACCCTATCGACTTATGGATCCATGATAGCTGTTTTGAGGTTCCACATTATATATTTTAAATTAAGTCTTTATTGTAATGTTTATATTTATTGACTTTCTGCTAATATCCGAAGACTGGAATAATGGACTTGAAATGTTTGCACAGAACTTTGATGGGATATAAATATCCCATATATAGGGATTTAAAACTATTTTCTATAGCAAAGCAAGTTAAAGTATTTTGAGTATAATTATAAATTTAAGTAAGACTATCTTGAGAAAACCGGAATTCATAATAGCTGTGTTTTTTTGAGTTTTCCAGGTTTCCCTTTTATTTTGGTGTATGTTTGAATGACAATTTCTTGAAAGTAGATTTGGGAAGAAAAATAAAATTGGAAAGGGGAAATTATGTTTTATTAAAAGGTATTAAAAGATATTTCAATGGCAATATGTTTATTTATTTTAATATGCTAAGAAGGTAGCTGTGGAACTGCCAAGGGACCATATGCATTAACCTAATTATGCTGCAGGCCGCTTGTCAGGTGGTTCAGTAAATTTGCCCTCCTGTTCTCCCAAATCATGGCATCTCTAGGCTGTTCAACTGTTGCTGCTTTTGTTAGAATTAATGTCTTTCGCACAGATAGTATTTACAACGTCAATTTTTGTTGTGATCAGCTGACCAAAAATTTATCAAAAGGGTTTATGGCCAAAAAAATCAGTCACTCAAATTCCTAGGGATCCCTTTAAAAAAATGTACATCGCCCCATTTTAGAGGAACAACACAGCAAGTACTCTAGCGGAAATTTGAAAAGAGGTGTTTACTACCATTTGATGCAGCCTTCCCTTACCTATAAGGAACCATTCGAATGAATTTGCTATTCACCAGATATCAGCCATTCTTGGATTTGGTAAGAGGTGAGCAACACAAATCTAGTATCATACTCTCATCTGACAGCACTTCTGCCAGAGAAGCACTAAAGTTGAGAAAGTTTTTCACATAGTCCAGATACTGTTACTATGCTAAGCGATCAGACATATCAGGAAGGCTCTTTTTTCTTCATAGGAACAAGCAGTAATAGCTGAAGCTGTAAGTGGGTACATGTGGATTTATTTTGAAGGAGAAAGAAAACTGATCTCAGATATTGCAAATGGGGTGTTTCCCTAAAGTAAAACATACTGATTAGTAGGTCTTGGTTTATTTAGAAATTATATAAACTCTTGTGAAACATTGTTAACAAGTAGGCCTTTATCTTTAGGGGAAAATTTTTAAATTTTTACTTTGTTTTTAACCCCCTACTGTGAGGGAAATGTCTTTATTAAAAATGTTGACTCCTGCAATATGTTTATTCTAATCCTTTTCCTGCTCTGTTTTTTATCCCTGATGAATTTGCAGAAATATTAATCCATCAATTCAATTTCTCTGTACCTTTGTTGAGCCTTAGTCTTGGCAGAAGGCTCATTAATATAATTATGAAGCATACTATTACATTTAAGAGAAAAAATCTAGGATGCTTGCATGAAACAACAAAGTATTTGCCTGCAGTTTTCTTTAAAAACTGCAAGAATATTATGCTAGTCTGCTCCTTAGTAAATGTTAAGTCAGAAATGAGGTGAGGCTGTAGCTCACCTGAATAATCAGAGCTCACTCAGATTTGGCTCGATCTCTCTTTAGTGCTTCTGTAAGTCAACTCTGTGCCAAATCCTCCTGCACAGGAACTCAGATCACTCTTTTCCTTGGTTCTTGTGGTTTCGGTGAAGATGGTGGCAGTGTATGAATTCTAAATCCCGAGGAAGAAGTCTTATGGGCATTGGTTGTTTCACATTGGTGAAAGAGGAAATAGAGTATGTAGAATTATACATTTGGCTGTTAATGGGATGCATATAAAATTCCTTAAAGACAGCTTGGCTAAGGAGTTAATCAGTACAGGTGCAGATGATTTTAAGGCATTAAAGGATTGTATAGTAATATCATTTAGAATGTTTCTAATAACTGAGACCCTCTAGCATTTTTCTTTTGGAGTCTCATTTTAATTTGTGCAATATTTTCAGGCATATAGACTACTGTTCATCATATTTATATAGATATTAGGGAACTTTACTAAGTATTTTAACAAGTAAAAATCTGAATATGAAAGAAAATATCAGATTTGCACTTTAAATGAGCTTAATTGCTTGGAGTTGTGCCTGAAATATCGAAATGCCTCCTTTTGGGTGTGGCTTTCTTTGTTGAAATGAATTTCTCTCTAATTGTTGCTGTTCGAAGTACAGCCTTTCACAGTTGTATTCTAAGCATGTCACTTTTTCCATTAAAGCACTAAGTTATTTGAATGTTTCATTGTCCCCTTAAGTATTTTACTCAGATGCATCAGAGAGAACATGGTCCCCCTAGAGCTGTCACTTCTAAATCTTCCTGTAGCATGGATGGTGTAACAGACACAGAGATGCACTCTTCATTTCTGAGCAGAGTTGTCATGATGGTTTCCTGGCCTCTAGGGCACTGAGGATGCAATTTGGAATCATCAAATAGGCTTGCAGTGAAGAGCAGTAAGACTGCAGCGTAGTTTCAGTTTACTGTCAATCTTACATAATAGTTTTCGTGTTTATGAATTAGTTGGGGTGGTTATGTTTGCATGCTTATGCACACATTTGAACATTAATTATAGCTGTAATACAGATACCTGATGTTTTTCCTTGGGGATGATGGCCTTGCTGTTTTTCTTAATTCTGATGCCTGAATTATATTTTAAAATTTTCTTTCCACACCTCCCTTCAATTTTTCTGCTGCAGCAATTTGAAAGAGTATGTTTGGGTAAATGATTATAATGGTGAGCACCAATCTACAACTATGCTGTTAAAGATACATCATATGTTTTAACTTTGTTGGTGGGAAGCTACCCACTTTCTCCTTGGTAAAGCATTGCCGTAACAAAATAATACTGACCCTAAGAATTTAAAATCTCTTAAGTCACTGCTGACTAAAACCAGGAACACCACGATCTTTAATGTCTGCAGTATTGTTTTTCCCACCGATTTAAAAAACCAGTTCAGAGTAAATACTGTATATTAGAATTTGCTTGTAAAATGAATTATAAAAACTGGATGTAAAGTCTCTTTCCTGAAAATGTTGACATAGTAAATAAAAATAAAGTTCATAATTATAAAAGTTTCCTTGTCCTTCTCAACATTGACGTCCACAATGTACTTTCTCTCATACCTTTTTTTCCACAAAGATCTAAAATATTCATTTCGTTGATTTTTTTTCAAACTCTGTGTAATTTCACACACTCCTTTCAGCATACACACCACACTTCCAGCCCTGATTGAGTAAAAGGAATAGGGAATTTATTTCATTTTCCAGTTTAGCTATATGTGATAGACTTTATATAATAGGATATTTGAAGTTGCTTCAGTGATATATCACATTATTACCGAAAATGGTTCCATAAATGCCAGAAAAAGAGTGAATGAAATTTTATTAGTAATAAATGTGATAATGGCATTTACCATGTCTTAAGACACCTATATCAGTTTTAAGGCCCTCTGAGTTGTTAGCAAGTATTCTCTTAGATTAACTCAAAATTGTCCCTTTTTAGTCTTTCATCAAGTGCAGTCATTTGTTTCTCATTATGTTTTTTCCCCACATTTTCCATTCTGAAAATCTTCTTCCCCAACAGAGAAAACAAGTAGAAGTTCTAACTTCTTGTGATGATCGAGTTTAAGTAATTTTGCTGGGTATCTTACGTATGCCATCACTGTACTGGCTGCTGGGTGGGCAGAGAGGAAGGCTGCATGGTCTCTGCCTCCTGGAGCTGAAGAACCCAAAGGTGGTTTTTAATACCCTCTCATCCAGTTCATCATCATGTTGGGAGCATAACAGTAAAACTCCTCTCCACTCCTTTCATTTCATTTTGGGCTTTAATTCCCTTGCACTATTCTCATCTTTGCTTCTGTGTTACCTTTCTTGGTTACAGTTCTTTATTTCCCTTTGAAAACCTGGCCTTTTATAATAACCTGATTTTATTCAAGAACTCCTTTCTTAGCTGTACTGGATAGTCTTAAGTATTCTGCATTCTCTTCCATAGGTGATTTGGTCAAGATTTAGTTTTGAGGTTTCTCAGCTATCTTAAGCTGCCTTCCCTTGCTGACTTCAGCCCATAGATGTCTTGCTTCCAGGGGCCCAGCCACTGAGGTAGCAGTTTTAATTCACGGTGTCCTGTTACAGAGTTATAGCAGTGTCGTGTTACAGAAGCAGGGCCAGGAGTCAATCCTACAGCCTCACACACAGAAGAGCCTGTGGGCCAAATGGAGGT